CCTGGTTCAAGCGATTCTCCTGCCTCAGCCTCCTGAAAGCTGGAATTACAGGCGCACGCCACCACACTGGCTAATTTTTGTATTTTTAGTAGAGATGGGATTTCACCACGTTGGCCAGCCTGGTCTCGAACTCCTGACCTCAGGTGATCCACCTGCCTTGCCTTGGCCTCCCAAAGTGCTGGGATTATGGGTGTGAGCCACTGGGCCTGGCCAGATTTTATTTTATATATTAAAAATATATGTATTCATGTAGTATATAATAAAATATATTTTTTATTTAAGGCAAAAATGTTTTAAAATACGCTGCCAGTAAGAACTTACAAAAGGAAAAGTATATGGGAAAACCTCACAGAAGTTTAAAAAATTTTTGAATTTAAAACAACCAGTTTAAATGGAGTTAGATTTATGTTTAAGAATTAGGCTGGTCCGATGGTAGTGGGTTATCAGAACTTATTAACATTAATGTTGGTGGGGCGTGGTGGCTCACGCTTGTAATCCAAGCACTTTGGAGGCCAAGGCAGGTGGATCACCTGAGGTTGGAAGTTCAAGACCAGCCTGACCAACATAGTGAAACCCTGTCTACTAAAATGGCGCCATGCGCCTGTAGTCCTAGCTACTCGGGAGGCTGAGGCAGGAGAATTGCTTGAACCCTGGAGGCAGAGGTTGCAGTGAGCTGAGACTCNAAAAAAAAATTAAAAAAAAAAAAACAACACACATTAATGTCACTTAAGTTGGTATACAACCCCCAACTGCTAAATTTGACTAGCTTTAAAAAAAAAATTTAAAAAACAATTAACTAGGCAGCCATGAAAAGAATGAAATCATGTCTTTTGCAGCAACACGGATGGAGCTGGAGGCCATTATCCTCAGTGAACTATCCTCAGTGAACTAATTCAGAAACAGAAAATCAAATATCTCTTGTTCTCACTTGTAAGTGGGAACTAAACAGTGGTACACATGGATATAAAGATGAAAATAACAGACTACTCCAAAATGGGGAAGATTGGGAGGAGACTGAGGATTGAAAATTTACCTTTTGGGTTCAATGTTCAGTATTTGAGTGATGTGTACACTTTAAGTCCAATCCCCACCATTACACAGTATACCGATGTAATAAACACACACATACCCTCTGAATCTGAAATAATTTAAAAAGTAAAAGTACGCTTCCTAGAGTTTGCTGTGAAAAAGTTAACTAGTATAGCTTGCTTGCTTTCTCGCTTATTTATTTATTTATTTATTTGAAGACGGAGTCTCACTCTGTTATTTATTTATTTATTTGAAGACGGAGTCTCACTCTGTTGCCCAGGCTGGAGTACAGTGACGTGATCTCAGCTCACTGCAACCTATGCCTCTTGGGTTCAAGCGATTTCTCCTGCCTCAGCCGCCTGAGTAGCTGGGACTACAGGCATGCACCACCACACTCTGCTAATTTTTGTATTTTTAGTAGAGATGGAGTTTCACCATGTTGGCCAGGCTGGTCTTGAACTCCTGACCTCAAGTGATCTGCCTGCCTCAACCTCCTAAAGTTCTGGGATTGCAGGTATAAGCCACAATGCCTGGCCTAGTATAGCTTTTTAAAATGAAGGATGATTTGTTTATGATATGATCTCTAAAAAAGTTAATTGTGGTGTCATAAAAGTAGGATTATATCACTCCCAGTACCACCATAGTAAAGGAGATGAACTGAAACATCTGAATCTTATTTCTTAAATGAAGAATAACTTAAGGATCAATAGTTGTTTTGTATAATAGATATGGGATAAGAAATAAAAAGTCCTGGATCTTTTCCATGAAGTAGTTGGCTCTCAGGATACGTAACAATGTAATTGTAAGAAAATCTTTTATGGTAAGCAATTTCTTTTTCAATTTCATCAATTATTGGTAGTAAGTTTTTTTTTCAAAGTTCTAAATTACAAAATTGTACTTGAGTGAAAGTGTAGTGTTTAATTTATAGCTCAGCCTGGGGTATCTGTTTACCAGTGGTAGGTCCTTGAATGCATTTTCCCTTTCTGCCTGTTTTTGATTCACCTTCTACTTTCTCTATGGTGAATGAGTAAGCTATTTCATCTTCCTGTTTGTCTTATTTATTTATTTAGATACCGACTTTCCCTCTTGTTGCCCAGGCTGGATTGCAGTGGTGCGATCTTGGCTCACTGCAACCTCCACCTCCCAGGTTCAGTTGATTCTCCTGTCTCAGCCTCCCTAGTAGCTGGAATTATGGGTGCCTGGCACCATGCCCAGCTAATTTTTGTTTGTTTTTTTCGTAGAGACAGGGTTTTGCCATGTTCACCAGGCTGGTCTTAAATGCCACCTCAGCCTCCCAAAGTGCTGGGATTACAGGCGTGAGCCACCACCCCAAGCCCTGTTTTCTCTTATTTTTAATCTCCTGTGTATTCTGTAGAAGGGATCTAATCTGGATAATCTTGGTTGACTAAGTTAGACTAGCTTAGCTTGGAAGGGTTACCAAAACAGCTGATTTTTTTGTGTTTTGTTTTTTTCTGAGATGGAGTCTCGCTCTATTGCCCAGGTTGGAGTGTAGTGACATGATCTCGGCTCACTGCAGCTTCCACCTCCCAGGTACAAGCGATTCTCCTTCCTCAGCCTCCCGAGTAGCTGGGACTAAGGTGCCCGTCACCACGCCTGGCTAATTTTTGTATTTTTAGTAGCGGCAGAGTTTTTCCATGTTGGCCGGGATGGTCTTGATCTCTTGACCCTTGTGATCTACCCACTTCAGCCTCCCGAAGTACTGGGATTGCAGGCATGAGCCACCACACCTGGTGAAAACAGTTGTTTTGAACAGTTAGCTTTTCTGCCAATATTGTTTATATTGGAAAATTGATATTCCCTAGACCTTGTTTTTAGAGTCCTTTGAAAGCTCTCTTTCCTTCTAACTGTATAGCCCTCTGTCCTGACCAGAATGTTTTATTTCCTGTTCCCTAAATAATGCCCAGTGATTTATAAGTACAGTGCATATATAAGGCATAAGTATGTCCCAGATGACTTAACTCTCTCTCCATTTCTGCTAATTCCATTTCATAAATGGAATTTTGTCTTCTCCAGTTATCCAAATTCTACTCTTATTTCAGGACCAAATTCATACTTAGTCTTTCCAATAAAGCCCGTACCACTCTGCCTTAGTCTAAAATGCTTTTTCTTCCCTTTTTTGTCACCCATGCTGGAGTACAGTGGAGTGATCATGACTTCCTTGGCTCAAGCAGTACCCCCCTCAGCTTCCCGAGTAGCTGGGACTACAGGAATGTGCCACCATGCTCGGCTACTTTTTTTTTTTCTTAAGAGATGAGGTTCTGCTATGTTGCCCAGGCTGGTTTCCAACTTGTGAGCACAAGTGATTCTCCTTCCTTGGTCTCCTAAAGTACTGGGATTACAGGCACGAGCCACTGTGCCTGGCCTTTTTCTTCCTATTTCTTTCTTTCTTTTTTTTTCGTCTCTTGTTCCAGAAAAGCAGAATCTCAGATGGTGGATATATGTGTGTATGCAGAGAGAGAGAGAGAGAAAGAAAGATAGATATTTATTATAAGGAATTGGCTCAGACCATTATGGAGACTAAGTCTCAAGATCTGAAGGATGAGTTGGCAACCTGGAGACCCAGGAGAGCACATGGTGTAGATCCAGTCTGAATCTGAAGGCCTAAGAACTCAGAGAGCCATTGGTGTTTTAAGCTAAAGGCTTGAGACCCACGAAGAACCAGTGTTTCAGTTTGAAGGCAGGAAAAGCTGATGTCCCTGTTAGTAAGCCATCAGACAGGAGGAATTCTGTCTTAGTATTTATGTTAGTGTTCATTTGTATGCCTTGTCCTACTAGCTAGTAGATAAGCATCTTGAGGGCAGGGGATACAAATCATATTTGCTTATCATTCATAAGCGCTTGAATTCTTACAAGTAGTAAGTAGATCTAATATATAATACTTTATAAAACAGTAACATTTTAGGGCTGGAAAGGGTTTTTGACTAGTTCAGCCTCTTATTTAACTGAAACAGAAAGTCTGTTGCATGTGACTATTTTTTGGAAGAACCAGGATTAGAATTTTTTTTCGATTTCTCATCCAGGGCTTTTTCAAATAATTATTATTAATAATAAATGATAACTTAAATCATTATCTTATTTTAGAGTTTTCCTGGAATCAGAAACAGCTTTAAAATGGGAAGAGTACCAGCCTTGGCACCGTAACATAGTGAAACTACGTCTCTAGAAATAATAAAAAAAATTAGCTGGGCATGGTAGCATGCACCTGTGGTCCCAGCTACTTGGGAGGCTAAGGCAGGAGGATTGCCTGTGCCCAGGAAGTTGAAGCTGCAGTCAGCTGTGATCACGCTACTGCACTGAAGCCTGGATGACAGAGTGAGACCGTGTATCAAAAAAAAAAAAGATAGAAGAGTAAAATAATATACCTCTTTCCTTGATGGTTAGAGAATAAAATGAAATCATGTACGTGGAATCACTTAGTGCAGTGCCATAATATAGCTAATAGCTCAACAATTGCTTTTTTTGTATTAGAAAAGTTATTAATTAAAACCTTTTTTTTCCTTTTTTGTTTTTGCTTAGGAGCAATAATCAAAATAGTTTGCAGAGTCCTTTAATGTGGAAAATTAGGCAGTATTCCTGGAGATTTCACCATTTTTCCTCTTTTAATTTAAAAATGTGCATGATACAAAATTCAGTTATTCCAAAGCATTATGCCAAAAAAAGAACTTACTTAATGTGCGATTATGTCATTATTTCCTCAAAGGATATTATTTGACGTGTTAAATTTGCTGATTCATATACAAGATTCCAATTAAGTATTTGAATGTAAGCCATCATAACCAAGTAGCAGTTTTATCTTTATGGCATGACTTTATTGAAGCACAGGTTGAGGCTATGGAAGGTGAAATTACAGTATGTAAACACTAGAGTAATTTGAACGTAAATACTCTTTAGAATTCTTTAGTCATGGGAAATGAAACTGATTATTTTCATTTAATTTTTTTCCTTTCTAGAGTTCTTTGTAGGTACATCTTAAAGCTGTCAAGATGGTTCTAGCAGACCTTGGAAGAAAAATAACATCAGCATTACGCTCATTGAGCAATGCCACCATTATTAATGAAGAGGTATGTAAAATATATGAAATATATATGCTTGTGTATTATCACTAGCTTTGGGAAGATGGATTTTTAATATTCCCTATATTTGTATTTATTTTGATGTGGACTTAATACCTGTAGATAAAAACCTAAAAGTGGGCCGGGCGCGGTGGCTCACGCCTGTAATCCCAGCACTTTGGGAGGCCGAGGCGGGTGGATCACGAGGTCAAGAGATCGAGACCATCCTGGTCAACATGGTGAAACCCCGTCTCTACTAAAAATACAAAAATTCAGCTGGGCATGGTGGCGTGTGCCTGTAATCCCAGCTACTCAGGAGGCTGGGGCAGGAGAATTGCCTGAACCCAGGAGGCGGAGGTTGCGGTGAGCCGAGATCGCACCATTGCACTCCAGCCTGGGTAACAAGAGCGAAACTCCGTCTCAAAAAAAAAAAAAAAAGAAAAAAAAACCTAAAAGTGGATACAGTAAGTAGTGTTTTATTGAGAAATTAACTACAACTTCAAATTTGCTTTGACTTTCTGTATTTTGCCAAAAAAAATCCAAAACAAAACTGACCTTAACTTAAATGAAAAATAACATGTTTTATCCTTTGAAAGTGGCTTAAATCTGGAACTGTACTTTTGTTTTTTTTATTGATATAGACTTAAAATTTTATTATCCTGCTGCTTTCTTCTTGGCGAGGCCTCTGCTTATCTGTCCTTTTATTTATTTATTTATTTGTTTTTTATTTTCCCAACTTACTGGTATTCAGTTATCTGTCATTTTCTCTGTGACTTTTATTTAGCATTCTTATAAAAGGTTAGCATTTGCATCTTGTCTGTTTTGATTCATTTTTTTTGAAATCTTCAGTTTTTTGCAGATTTTGTAAGCTGCTCCTTAGCTATATTGTTTTAAGATACTTCTTTCTCCCATTTGTCCCCCACAGGTTGTATCTTAATGGTTTATTAATTGAAAAAGATGACTGTGGTTCACAAGTATACTTTATATTTTGTATTAACAATGGAAAAGGGAGACCTAGGGCTAAAGCTGGGAGACTGAAAAATGCAGATCACCGGGGCATTACTCATTTCTCTGGCTCTGATCCGCTGTTGTACCAGGGGTCTAATCAGGCCTGTGCCTGCCTCCTTCTTGAATAGCCCAGAGAATTCATCTAAACAGCCTTCCTGCAGCAGCTCCCCACTCCAGGTGGCCCAACGGGAGTTCCAGACCAGTGTTGTCTCCTGGGACATTGACACAGCAGCCAAGTTTCTTGGTGCTGGGGCAGCCACAGTTGGTGTGGCTGGTTCAGGGGCTGGCATCGGAACGGTGTTTGGCAGCTTGGTCATTGGCTATGCCAGGAACCCATTTCTCAAGCAGCAGCTCTTCTCCTGCGCCATTCTGGGCTTTGCCCTGTCTGAGGCCATGGGGCTCTTCTGTTTGATGGTCGCCTTCCTCATCCTCTTCGCCATGTGAGGCTCTGTGGGGTCACCTGCCTGTCCCTGCTGCAG